ATAAGAAAAGAAGTCCCAAATTTGTTGGCGTGGGCCTCAGACCCAACACGGAGGCCTACATCAAGTGCCTTGAGGAGGTAATGCTGCCGTGGGTCAAGAGGTTGGCTGCTGGAAGACCCTATGTCTGGCAACAGGACTCTGCACCATGCTACACAAGCAGGAGAACCCAGTCATGGCTGTCAGAAAATTTCTGCAACCACATCACTCCTTACATCTGGCCACCTAACTCCCCAGACTGCAACCTCTTGATTATTATGTGTGAGGCGCAGTTGAGCGAAAGCCTAAAAAAACTTCTTGTAATACCAAAGATGAACTGAAGGCAAGAATTATGGCAGCATCCGCCAACTTAAACAAGGAAACCGTCCAGAAGAGTTACATGGGATTCCGAAATCGTCTGGAGGCTGTGGTTGTAGCAAATGGAGATTTGATTGAATAAATTTACTCTTTAGTATTTCAAGACATTTTGTATAATTTTGGTAAATATATCTGTTAAAATGAGATGTCAGTGTTATTTTCATTTTTGCCTAATTTAGACGACAATTTATCCATCGCACCCTGTAAATCAGAATTTTTTAGTGCGGAGTTTCAACGAATTGGCATGAAGAGAAAATGCTCATAAAACAGATTAAAATATCTATAATATTCAGTAATGTGTAAAACAAAAGTAAGATAGTTCGTTGTTCACAGAAGGGATATACATTTGTATACGTTCAAAAGCAGAAAGGTAGTTTCAGATATTTAGCTTTCTTGGATTGTTGAAAGTTTTTGAAGTACTTAGTGCTTGGTTAAAAAAGGTCGATAATATAATTGGCAAGTAATTTGAAACTGGCAAGAACTTAAACGCATGAACAGAAACGAAATCTTTCCCGTGACTTCAGACACTCTTCTCTTGTTAATTAATATTTTTTCCTCGTTTTATATCAAAAGGAATTTCGCAGAGGCTCGCTATTTTCTTTTCTTTCTTTTTCTTGTCTTTAAAAGCAATTTCACATAGGCTCGCGAAATTATTTCCGTTTTTTTTTTCTAAGCTCGCCGGCCAATTTCTGTGAAGGTAATTTTTTCATAGGACCAAACAAAATTTCACATAGGCTCGCGAATATATTTCCGTCCTTTCTCATCTCGCCTGAATTTGAAGGGAGTGGGTAAAGGGCGTTATTATTATTTCGTACGCACTACAAGTTCGAGGTAGTCTTCACCAAATGTAGGGATAGTGGCGAGAATATTAACCTCAATGCAAACAGAGTTGGATTTAAATTTTGGAAGCTTAATCTAATGGGAGAAAAAATTTGAAAAAGAAATTTTGTATATTTTATAACACCAATTACTTTTCTATATATTAGTAATTAGTCTGAAGTTTGAATTTAAACAATTTGAGTACTAATTCTGGAGCCAGAATTGAAGAATACGAATTCTGGTCAAAATTCTAAGTCGGTTACAAAAATAGTGTAGCTATTGTGAAGGCAGTTCTAGCTACGAGGTTCTTTAACTTCCAACTCTGAACCTCACAACCGGTGACCTCCATTTCAACACTATACCACTGGGCTGTTTTTAATATAAAAGAATTATTTTTTTTAATATCATGTCCCTTAAAGACGCAGGCTATCGTGATAGCCTCTCAAAATTCATTTCTTTATTAACTGAAATAGCACTTTTTTGTGGGGGCGGGGATAGTAAAGTCCTTTTCCGTTGTCTTCGTTCCGGTTTTTGAATTTACAGTCCTGCTCGTAGACGAACTAATAATCAAGGCTATAAAGTCCAGTCTACCCTGTTATTTAGACTAACTTGCGAGCGCCAATATCCACCTGGTAATTGGTAGCGCGTTAGTTTGGGAAGAAGAAGGAAAAATTCCTTCACGAATAAAAATAAAAAAAAATTGAAATTGCACAAGGCCAGACTTAATGACACCAAAAATGGATAATAGGTCTATTTTCTTCCTATCACCAAAACACTGATTTGGACAAAATAACTGAATCGATACTTGGTTTTTGTTGTAAAAATTAGAAACAAATTTCAGATTGGTTTATTTTAATTAAGGATCACAAAAAGTACAATAATTTATGTGTTTATTCGGTTGTTTCTTACCCCACCACCACCAAAAAAAAAGAGGGTAGGATATAAAAACTGTAAAATGAACTGTATCCATAACAGAAAAGTAACATGGCTATTTTTTTAAATCAGGTTTTTTCGTACTTATTCTGTCTGTAAAGGTTGCACTTCTTTCTTTCTTTCTTTCTTTCTTTCTTTCTTTTACCGTAAGGTTCACTCTATACAAGGCCCGGGGCCATTCGAAATAGAGGATTGCATAAAAAGGCAGTTTATGCGTATAGGAGAGGAAGATAATGGTTAACTCTAGACTTAAAACAGGTTAAAATTGTAGTGATGGGGGAAGCATCCTCTTGGGAGTTGTTTTCACAGAGTTTCGGATGAAAGAAGCTATTCGAGTGGAACTTACTTCTCACCGATGGAATGGGGGGGTGCTACTATGTAAGTGGCATAGCGTGTTCTTGCCGTGAAGGTTTGAACTAGCGGGACCAGGAAATGTAGTTCGTCCGAGCACTTTCAGTGGAAGTAGTAATAGAGCAGCGAAAGGATTGCCACATCCCCGCCTGTGAGAAAAAGGTTGCAGAATAATCCGTCACCCCCAAGGGCTCGTAGACGCTTTCGGACACTGTCAAGTCTGGAGAGTAAGGTTTGCGCAACTCCTGCCCAACAGTACTCCATTTTGGGGACTGATCTGGTTTGTGTAAAGGTGGATAACAGCAGGAGGAGTGGTACAAGGGGCCGATTGTTTTTACCTGCATCTTTAGCAATGGATCGTATGAGGTCAGGTGCGAGTTTGAGGCTCAATAGTCTTTCAAGGCACGGTGTCTCCCCGAGGGGACATCCGTTCATCGTGACTGAAGGTAATTCGGGGTTAGATCGGCGATGATGGAATATAATTAGTTTAATTTTCGAGGCATTGAATGTAACCAGCCAGTTTTTACCCTTACTATCGGAAGATAGATAAGTTGCTAATCTCTGACCGTCAAGAGTTTTATAGGTGCGCCTGCATAAAGTCGTATCATCGGCATAGATGTTTACAAATTATTTGAGTATTCTTAGGCAGATCATTTATGTCACCTTAACAACTAGAGTTATCTCTCTTGCACTGGCGACACCAGGTGTCAATTATCTTCATTTTATACTGGTGAATTGCTCGATATTTATGAAACCAAGAAGTGTTAAACAAATAAAGGACACAGTAATAAATGAAAAAATACAGTCAAGCTGAAAAAACAAAACAAAACAAAAAAAACAGACAACGTGTGAAGAGTTAATAACAGACGCTGGAGTAATGGATAGCGGCTCAGATTGAAGAATTGGCGAGCCGAAGTCGAATTCCAGTCGAATCCATTACATTCACTTACATGCTAATACCCTTGGGAAAGCTATGACTCTTCTTCTCTAACCCCCACCCCACCCCAACTATGAGTAACTAGCGGGACAGACCGGGTTCTATAGCCCTGGATAGCAACTGGTCTACCTCAAAAAGAAATGGCAACGGGAAAAAATCTTCCTCGTTAGTCATGATTCGAAAGATACATGATCGGCTCTCACGCATGAGGTACAAAAATAATTTATAATAAAATAAACAGTCATTCTTGATGCGATATGAAGTAAATTAGTAGATTTCTGTACAACAAGGCTACCCTTGAAACTGACATATTGGTCTTAAAATGCAAGTTATTGTTTTTTTGGTTGTAAAAAGAAAATAACCAAGCATTTGAAGAAGAAAAAAACACTATCATTGATATTAATAGAATTTAACTGTAAAAAATTGTTTACATTTATCGGCAGGACATCAATCATTAACAGAGTTTGTCAAATTTTCCAGACGAAATAAAATAAAAAGTGCATACCTTTGTTATTGACGTTGTTGCTCAAGTCAGCCTTGGAGTGTAAAGAGACTTTTTTTTAACCATGCAATGTTGTGTTAGAGAAAAAAATAAATTGGCAACTTTCATTTTCTGGAGGCAAATGAAGAAAAACATACACATACTAATTAAAGTATGCTATTGCCAAACTTTCAAAAGATGTATAATTTATGCCATATTATTGTGAAAATATTCTGTTGTTATCGGAGACAATATGACAGTACTTCATTTTTATTTTGATTTTCACGTTGAATTCTTCCATTATCCCAACTGAAGAAAAAGTAAATACAGTTTTTGTCCGGAAGAAATATATATATATATATATATATATATATATATATATATATATATAACTAAATTTCTTTCTTTGCCAAAAGAAACAAAAAATGTTCCTGTTCCAAAAGCTGACCGAGTTGTAAATAATATCGTTTTCCAATATAGTGTGACTATTGGCTAACGTAACAAGTGGACGTTTCTTTAAATAGGTGGAAAAAGAATCACAAAATGCTGATTGATCAAAAGATGGTTGACAAATATTAATCCAGGCTTTGAGGTGGTGAGGTCTATACACGTAAAGAAAATATATTTGTTTTTGTGTAAAGACTTAGCAGTTTTTGAATGTACACTCCTTATTGCAAACGTAACTCGTGGTAATCTCGTAAAAGAAAATGAGGAAAGGAGGGAGCTACCATATTGAAAATGGAACTGATACCCAAAGTTCGGATGATTACTCCGAGGGTGTCTTTTAGTGTAGATGTTGTTTATCAATGTTTACAAATCAATAAAATTAATCTTTTTTTTTTTCGTTTTAAAGATTCAATCTGGGGTTTCCGTTTGTTTAATAAAGGTTATATATATATATATATATATATATATATATATATATATATATATATATATATATATATATATGCACGATTCTACTTTTTTTCATCGAACACAATTTCTTTTTTTAAATTTTACTTTTTTTTTTTGTACAGAGGGGTTATTGATTTTTTTGTTTCATGATTTGCTTTACAGATGTGGTTTTAGTTATTGCTATCATTTTTTTTTTTTTTTTGGCATTTTTTTTAATATGCCCCGAATTTATCCGAGGCACTCAGTGTAGGCATCGTCAAGGTCTTTGCACAATTGGATGTACTTATCTTTTTCGACATCTAACTCGCGAGAAAATTTTTCAATCTCTGCTTCTAATTTATCTACCGTTCTCTCCGCCTCTTGTGCCCGCGATTCGGCGCTTTTTAGCTTTTCAAAATCGCAATCGGCCTGGACGCGTTTCTCTTCCAACTGCTGTTCGGACCTCTCCAAATCTAACTGTAACAACTGAATGCGCCGATTCAAACTTTGGGATTCGCTTTCGGTGTCGGCCAGCTTCTCCTCTGTGAACCTCATCATGTCCTGTGCCTTCTCTAGCTGATGCGTCACGTCGTCGAAGTCTCGCTCCAGGTTTCCGTATTTTTTCTGCATCCACAGTAACTCATCGTCCACTTTTTTCTTGTCTTCCTGAAGCTCGTGGTAACGGGACAGTGTCTCGTTCAGGTCGTCGTTTTCCCGTTCTAGCGTGCCGTATTTCTTTTGGAGAAAGTTAAGATCCTCTTGGATCCGGTTTCGATCTTCTTCCATTTGTCGCAGCTGCAACTCGAGGTTTTCGGCCCTGTCCACGGCCTCGTCGCGCTCCAGCATCATCACTTTCACTTTGTTTTTGCATGCTTCAATCGCCATTGTCGACCGCTTCCTTTGGACTTGAGGTGGTGTTCCTAAAATTAAAAGTCAATAATGTCATCTAATTACATAGAACACAAAACGTTTTTTTTAAAAAAAAAAAAAAAGAAAAAGAAAGGAAAGCTAAGGCACAAGAAGCAGTAATTAAGAACCGAAAAATACACACAGAAATAGAAAGGACATGAACTAATAACGGGTTGAGGAAAAATACGTCCGTCCGATATACTGGCCTCTCTTAAGTTAAAAATAACAAAGTAAAGTAAATGCTATACCTTCTTGTAGTCAAGTGTATTAAATTGTTAGTTGTCGTTGTTGTTGTTGTTACTACGTCTTGTATGTGTCTGTGTGTGGAAATAGATACTATGTCAGGCGGACGAGCAAGCAGCCAATGTAACAAACGCAAGAGTTCCTAAATCTCACAAACTCGGTGGTATGAGGTTAGAACATAAAATTCGGTGCCTCTTCCTCCTTTTTTGCGGAACCATGCGTCGAACTGCTGCTTGGCGGAGATGTTTGTTCGCCGACTTGCACTCTGATTCGGTTATCTTCGTAAAATCTGGCGTAAAAGAAAAATGTGTGATAATACGACTACGTTTGTTGATTATTAATGCCAATAGGAACAAAAAAAAAAAAGAAAGAAAAATTTAGAAAATACTAACAAACAATAGTGTTTACAGTAACTTTCGAGTGTAAAGTTCAAATTCTAGGTTTGGCAAAAAGATGAAAAATACAATTTAATAGTCCGGGGTATGACGATAAACTACATCCGGCAGCAAGGCCTCTGGTCGGGAGATTGGGATTTTCCAAGCGTAGCTTAGATGTGGCACAATGCCGAAAGTATGGGGCACCCAGTGAGGATCGAACTCACTTCTCAGCTGTACTTGTTCTAGCAAGACAAACTTGCTAACAATTACACCACGTCGATGTACCACTGATGGAGATTGGAGGTTTTGAGAAACAATTTCTTAATTAGTGTTATTCCCAAGTTCACCCTGTTAGGGTCCCAACTATGGTCAAATAGTGTACCTAAAAACGAAAATTCCATGAAAGTATAAAAATACATGTTTATGATAAAAATACCAGCAATACATTTTTTTATGTTAAAAAAATAGCAACAAAACCTATTTATAGTAAAATTAGCAACAATACATTTTTAAAGCAACATGACCAGCAATACATTTTATTTGTAGTAAAAGCATACAATTGCGTTCAAAATATTTTTAGTTGAAACCATAAAATTGTTCAAATTAATTACCTTTAGCGAAATAACCTACATAGCATTGAATGACCCGTGGCAGTTGATATTGTTATGATAAGTGCATGGTAGTAGAACAAAGAAGAAACAACTAAAATTTAAAGAAATAAACAATTGTATTAACGTAAAAACATAACAAATGTTAAATCAGTGTAGTTGTTTCTCGTTGAAAAAAAAAAGATAAGTGGAGTTGTAAAAGGCGTCCTGTGAGGCGTACGGAAGGAGAGGGAAAATGAGTTGGGACTTACTGGAGCGATGGTCTTTAACGAGCTGGTCGTGTCTGATGGCTCTTGGAAAATGTGAGGTCTTTCCGACGAAGTTTGTGAACTCGAGTCGTCTAACTGCCAAAATGTTCCTTTGATGGTCTTCTATGTCCTTTCTTAGACTCAAATCGGCTCCAGTTTTTATTTTGTTTTTTTTAGACGAGAGTGGGTGGTAATTGGGTGGAAATTATACTGCTTTTTTTTGTCTTTGAATAAAAAACGGAAGGTATGTGCGGAGCCTTGCGCAGTTGACAGAATTTTAGTTCAGTTTTGGGTGTTCCGAGCATTTACATCCGGCCAGTAGTGGAAATTAGTGTAGCATGAATCAGAAGAAGATCTGGTTTTGGGAAGAACGTAACACTATGCCGCTAAACAAAATCAGCTAACCAACAATTTAATAACTGTCTACATTATTTCAAAGCTGTGAACTTGAACTGAAAAAGTTTTTTTAATTTTTTTTTCTATTCATGAGCCGAAATTTCTATAATATTTTAAAACTTGAGATCGAATATTGATGTACTGCATCCAGCAGGGTACCACAAAAGAAAATGTCGGTTGCTGGGCTAAATCAGATCTTCTTCTTCTATGTAATGTGTCCCTTCAGGATGTTGGCGATCATGGCTCTCCACAATTTCCTGTTCTTTGTAGCTCTTGATAAATTTTGAACCCTGTTCTGTCATCCATTTATTCAAGCTCGCTAAGCAGATTATGCGTAGCTGTCCCCTGTTCCTCTTGCCTTCAATCTGTCTTGTGAGTATAAAAATATTCCAAGCCATACCCAATCATGGGAAAGGCTTCGCGAATAAACACTAAGGATGAATCCGGAGTCCCTAAAAGAGTCCAATGTTATGTTCAAATTAATTCTGGCAACTTCTGCGACAACGCCGGTGCCAAGCTGAAATGGCCACTACCTTTCGCTTGGAAAACATCGGTGGCGTGGAGAGGAGAAACGTGCTGCATTGGCAACTGCCGATCTTTCATAAAACCTTCCCCAGTATTACTCCCTGGAGAGGACACACCAGCGTCGCCTCGCTGCGACGGTAAAACACGGGAAGCAACAGTCTACTGATGGGAGGATTTCGAAGGTCCTTTTGTATGGACACCAGCAAGAGGGCACGAGGGTGACCTCTTCTTCAAAGACGTCTGCAAAAGAGATATAAGGACGATGGACATGGACATCAAGAGATGAGAAAAGGATGACAACGATCGTTCACGCTGGAGACACGATTTACACCAAGGGCTGGATTAAGGAGATGTCTGCTGCCGGGGTGAAGAGTGCTTGAAGGAAAGAAAACAACACAACAACATCGAAGGAGAGCATCTTTACACACATTTAGTGAAATCAAGACTATCACTCCCGTGTGGGACTGTACAGCCATAACAGATGCTACGCTGCCATCTAAGAAATAAAATTTTTGGTGCAGATTCATGGTTTCTCGCGACCAATGGATGCCATACTTATAATACATAGCAGTTCGGTACTCTTTGTTTCTGGGTATTTTTTTCTTGATAATTTGTTGACCTTTTGTAAGGCTGGAGGAAATTCTGTCGTCCAGATTTTTTTAATATTAAAATCCGCACGTCCGGATTCCAAACAATAATAAAATAAAAAATTAAGAAAACATATTTATGCCTGAAAAATAGATTTGTATTTACAAATATATGTACATCAATTCAAAAGCGTCAAAAAGGAGTAAAAAAAATAGTTTTTAGTTGAGTTAAAATCTTTGGATTGTTGTTCCACAGAAAAATCTGTGATTTAGAGAAGACTTTTAGTAGTTGGGCCATGGCAAAAAAAATTGTCGTTCAAAAAGACTTTGATCGTCAGCAAAGATTTACGGTCAATCCATGCGATGATTCATTTGAAGTCACCGACACATGTTTCTTACTTTCTGGCGGGGGTAGGGGCTATTTAACCACGTCTTTAAACGGCTTGGAGACAGTCGCATCTCTGATCCTAAAATTCGTAATCTGTTGATTTTAATAAGAAAATTTTCCCGAAAATAGGATTGATAAAAATAATGTTTTAGTTTTCTCTGATTGGTCAAATATTTCACATGATGATGTTAATTTCTAACCAACTGACACTTTGATTTAAACAGTATTGTGGAATCTTTTTGGCATGTTTCCAAATATTGTCTGCTATTGAGTAGAAAATAAAGTTTGAGCTTGTTTTAATATGGTATGCGTGTGCGAATGTAATTGTGTTGGAAATAGGATTTATTTCCTATAAGGCCGCTTTCGCTATCCCAATGCGCCTACGGATTTCAGTGTCGTAATTTCCGTCCTCTGTTGAAACACTTCCCAGATATTCTTCTGTTTCTTAATACTTTGCTTAGCTTTTTGAAGGCATCTTTCGCTATCCCAATGCGCCTACGGATTTCAGTGTCGTAATTTCCGTCCTCTGTTAAAACACTTCCCAGATATTTAAATTGTTGTATTTCTTTTTTTTTTTGACTTTGGTATCTACAGTTTGTAATTTGCATGGTTGGATGTACATTTTGCTAACAACCATGTATTCTATCTTTTTGCAATTAATGTTTAGTCCTTTCTTGTCGCTTTATTTCACTGCCTTCTATAGGAGTTTGTGGCGGACCGTGGCGGTGTTGAGTATGTATTGTAGAATACATGTGAGTTAAAATTTCCTGCTAGCCGGTCCAGTTACATGAAAATGTTGGACTTTAATTAAGTCCAAAGAAGACAAAGAAAACAAACAAGACCAATAAATATATATAAACAAATATATGTATTAACATTAACAACAAGTACAAGTTACAAGCACATGGACAGTTACATTGGGTGCGTTTGGTGAATATTATGTGTGTGTGTGTTGTGGTGAATGTTCATACGTACGTGTATTGTTCTTAGCGTGTTCCCAGAATTTGGGAAATGCTGTATCTGTGAGAGCTCACATTTGCGAGGTGGTATAAGGCCAAAGGCCTGAGGAAAAAAAAGATCGAGGCGAAGGGTCAGCCAGTATTTATAGCCAGGGGAGAGAGACCTGTGGTGAAGGGTTAAGGAGCTGAGGAGAAGCTAACTCCAACAAGTTCTTGCACTTTCCTTTCTGTGCCTGTTACCAATACTGGGTTATCGGCATATATTATGTTGTTGAGATTGTGGCCGTCAATATTGAATTATGGTAGGACTTTTCTCTCAGTATCGCCTTAATGTATAAGTTGAACAAGTCCGGTGAGAAGACACACCCTTGTCTTACACCTCTTTCTATTTTTGTATATTTACTGAATTAATTTTCTAACCACACGCAGCCAATGTAACTTCTGGATTATTCTAATATCCTTCTCAAATATAACATAGTTAGCTAGCAGTTCCGAAGGTTCTTTGTGGTATACTATATCGACCGCTTTTGCATAATCTATAAAACATAGGTACACATCCTTCCGCATTTCTATTGCTCTTTCTGTTATTATTCTGGGTGTAAATATCACATTCTAATATCAGTTGGTTATTATCAATTCACTAAT